TCAGCTATACGCTCATGCGCTGCTCCATCAAATGAATTTTTCTCCACTGCTCGTTTCTATTACACAATAATAGAAGACATCAATTCATTATCACCACATGATGAAGAACTGAGAGATGCCTGTGGTCTAGAGATAAGATCTCTCAATTTAACAAGCCAAACTTAAATCTAATTGAACCTAAATGTAGAGATGGGTATAACAAATAGAACTATATGATTAATCATGCATGAATTTTAACTTTCCTTAACAAAGCACCAAATTGATGATAAATAGAGTATTTTCTAGTTATTAACTTAGCCAAAGTAGTGTGTCCTCAATTAGGGTTGATAGAAATGGTTGTCTTGATGTGGGAGGGGGGGGGCACTTCCTCTAAGAGCTAATTTCCTATGTGGATGGGCCCCTCTAAGTTTAATGCTAAATGGTAGCATTTGCTGGTGTTAGGATAGGTTAGATTGTGCAAGATAAAGGGGTTTCTATTGAGGAGGAGCTTTTAGACCTCTATGAAGCTAATGTGAGGGTTAAATTTGAGTTTGAGAGATTTATGGTGAATATGTAAGAGGCCATGGTTTTGGCGAGTGAAATTAGGATTATGGAATGGGAGGGAGGGATTGAAAATAGTCTCATGGAGAGCTAGGGTCTCATGGGGAACTAGGGTCTCCTGGAGTTGATCAAATAAAAATCAGGAGTTAATCAATCCAACTTTTGTAGCAAGTTCAATGGATTTTGATGAAGGAATGGGGAACTAGGGTCTCATGGGGAGCTCTTGAGTTTGGCCCTCTTATGGCCATGTGAGGCCATAAAGAAGGTTGGATGGTACTTGAAGATCTCTTGCATCACATCAGAGCTTTGGTAGAGGGGAGCCAGAGACTTTTGGCAGAGGAGGGAACCTATTAAATTTTTTGAAATCTTCGGCAAGGGGGAGCTCTAATGGAGGTGGAGTTGGAGCGGGGAGAGCTAAGGTTGATTGGGGGGAGTTTGGGCTAGGTGATTTGACTCAATTTTGGTTTGAGTTTGGTCCCCCATGAAGTGATTTGGGGTGATGGGTTTGGGAATTTAACATCACAGAGTTTATTTTAGGATTGATTAACTCTTGATTTTTATTTGATTTACTTAAGGAGTTATTAGGTGATAAGTAGGTTTTTAGGTTTTAGGATTTATGTTTTGTGTCATGTGCTTTTGATTTGGACTTTTGGTTAAAGCCAATTAGTGTTTAAGTTAGGGCTTATGAGTTTATTTAATTTTATGTTTTGGACTTTTGGTTAAAGCCAATTGGTGTTTAAGTTAGGGCTTATGAGTTTATTTAATTTTATTTATTGAAAACTAATTGATTTTAATTTACCTTTGGTGTTCTTGTTTTGTATTTATTTTATTTTGGGGTTCCTTCAATTTTGGTGGCTTTTAAATTATTATATGTTAATTAATGATTTATTTTATATATATATATATATATATATATATATTGGGAGATTCATTTCACTCTTGCATTGGTCTAATGTTAGTTTCATTTTGTTGGTTTGAACTTTGGGGTTTTAATTTAATGTTTGGGAATTTTAGCTTTAATCTTAAATTAGTATTTGATTTTGAACTTTAATGAATTTATTGAATGAAATCTTCCCATTTTTATTGTTCCAATTGATAATTCAATGTTAAGTTGGTTTTATTTGAATTTTCTTAGGGTCAATTTTGTTTATTTAAACTTTATAGATTTAATTTGATGATTTTTATTGATATGTTTAATTTTGGGTTCAATTGAATTTTGGTGATTTTAGTTGTTTTAAATTTCAATGTTAGTGATTATATTTTTTGTTAAATAGTTTAACTTTTGAAATTTCAGAAATTTAAATAGGATTCAAATTACTTTTGATACACCTTTGATGAATTTAATTTTCTTTATTTCAACTTTAATTATCTTAGGATCTCAATTTTTATGGTTCCCATTAAGAGGTGATCCTTACCTTGGTCAAATGTTAGCCTAAACCTAATGGGCTTTTTTCAACCCAAAGGATGGTCACATGACCTTTGGGGTGCAAAGTTGGCTACCAAAAGGGAAACCTAAGTTTTTAGGGCCAAAGGGTCTTTTAAGACATTTTCACTTTATAGGAACTCAGCTTGGGCTTTAATGTCTAAATCCTAATTCCCTCAACAAGTGGTTGATGAATTGGAGTCCAGAATATAGTGAACTAAGAATTGAAGATTTGTTTAGAGTTCTATATTGTTTTCGTCCCATCACTACTCCTCAAAAAGAGTCACTAGGAAATCCCTAAAGCTAGATCCTAGGCTACTAGAGAAAGGACATACCCATTCATAAAAGAGGTCAACAAGGCCATGGGAATGAGGAGGAGGTATATTAAATGTTGGTGAGTTTTTTCCATGGGGAAAAAGAAGAAAGGGAAGTAATTTAAGGTTTGGGTTTTTTGCCGTGGGAAAGAGGAGGGGGTATATTGGATAGTGGTAAATTTTGGCCATAGGGAGAAAGATGGAAAGGGAATTTAGACATGGGGAAAATGAAGATAAGGGAATTGAATTATTTTTGGGGTTTGGGCTATGGTAATAAAGATGAGGTATGTTGGATGGTGGTAGATTTTGGTCATGGTGAAATGGGAGAGAGGGAGGAGGGAAAGGTGTTGGTTTTTGTTATGGAAAAAAGAGACTGATGAAGTGGGGAGTATGTTGGTTTTTGTCCAAGGGGAGTATGGATAGATGAAGAAGGGAAAGATGGTAGTCTCTTACCATGAGGAAAAGAGGAAAGTGGAGGAGGGTGTGTGGTTTGGCAAAGGTAGAAGTTGAAGAAGAAGATGGAGAGGGGAAGGTGGCTCGGCCATAGAGAAGAAGAGAAAAAGAGGGACAGGGGAAGGTGGTTCAACCATGGGAGAAAGAGAATGAGCAGCGAAGAATGTGTATAAGTTTTGAATATGGGAAGTTGAGATGTATATGTTTTGGTCATGTGAAGCAGAATAAAAGGAGGAAAAATAAGTGATTGATATGAGGTTCAAAATTTTATGGAAGGAGGAGAAGATATAACCTTTTGACCATGAGAGGGAAAAAATAGGTGGAAATTTAAAAATAGGAGTTCTGCTAGTTAGGGTAGTTATGGATGAAAAAAAAATATTTTGCTCATTGTGTCAAAAAAAAATTAGAAAACACAATGGTATGATTAGTTTTGGGTGAGTTATGTCTTAGAGCCAAATCGTCAAGGAGTTGACATTCACAACCAACAAACAAGAAGTCGGAACATTCAAATATCAACAAATAAGAAGATTCTAGGAAGAATGATGATGCAAACAAACCATTTGATTCACCTTTTGCACAAGCATCTCCCTCAAAGTTAGTAAACTCACTACACTTTCATGGCGTGCTCATCATTGGGGTTCCTAAACTCTTTCTCTCTTTCCATTTCTCTCTCTCATGTAGCACTGTAGGGAAAGAATTATTTGTTTTCTATTGAAAAATGGAAGGAGAAAAAGTTCAAATGACTACTATCTACATAAGAGCTACAACCTCCAGGCGAAGGGAAGTATGAAATTAACAAAATTAACAATGAATCCTCTCTCATTTATGACTATGTTGTATGTATAACAAGTATAATAATGTAAATTCTTAAAATAGAGCATAAATATGCGAATTATCGCCGATTGTGATGGGATTCTAGTGAAGGCAGCTAATTACCTCTAAGAATGTCCATACACCTCATAAGGGAAAGGATGTATCATAAAATATATCTTTCTCACATATGTCGTACTGTTTAAATATGTAAATATGACTATTGTGCTGAAACGTTCATCCTATTACTTTTTTTTAAAAAAAAATATCATCTTAGAAAATAATGAAAATCAAGGAACTAACTATGTACACAAATGATTGTCATGCGTTGAAGAGGATATTAACAAGCCTTACATGCCCAAAAACCTATTTTTCCAAAGCATAGTTATTACATACTAACTGTCAGGTTGACGTATTGTGTTGACCTGCCAAACTTACTTGACAAGTGCCGATTGTTGGGCTAACTTGCAAATTCACTCAATAAGTCTCAACTTTTGCATACTAGCTATCGGGTTAACCTACCGAACTTACTTAGCGAGGGTCAACCCGATAGTCAGCTCGCATGCCAACTATCGGGCTGACCCACTCGGTTGACATGTTGAATATACCCGATGAGCCTCCACTGCTACGTATCAGTTGCCAGGTTGACTTGTCGAATTGATCTACCGAGCTTACCGACCAAATACCTTTTGGCACATATCAACCACTGAGTATCAGTTACCAATAGAAAAGTGTATATCTAAGTCTAATTATGGTCGTCTTTTGTCTCAATGGACGTGATTTGACATCAATATACAACATTTACAAACATTGTATTCTACTAAAATCATTTAATACATTCTCTTTATAACCTAATTAGGGAGAGTGGTCATTTCAAGCCTTATGAATAGAAATGTCCCTTGCCTCTATGTGCTTCGTTTTTCCATTATATTTCTTTTCACTCGACGGAAAAGACTAATTCAAGTTTTTTTTAAGCCATTGCGCAATCCGCCCGTTCAACTTCCTTCACGAATCTAGTATAAACTGTGAACCCATGAACAATTTTGGATCCAATGTTCGAAAATGATTCAACTCGTATATTAATATTTTGGTCAAAAACATTAATTTGGAGATATTTAACTCAATAAATATATCAAGGTATACTCCTTCAAATTAGTACATCATAATTCTAGTAAATTAGTACATCATGATAAATGACAAAAATATTTAAACTTCATACTTAAAATAATTTCATATCGTTATTTTTTTATTTCAAAGTGCATTATGACCAAAGTAGGAAAAAAAAAGTAATAAATAAAAATCAAACTCCTAATTTAAAATAGCTCATATCACTATTTCTTATTAATGATAGCATCGGGTCAAGAATCCCGGGCGGCTTTAGGCTCCACGAGCTGCCATTTGGTCATCTTCGGTTTCTCTCAAGTTGGCGCACAAGAAGTGCTCAATGGGAGGACGGCTAATGTAAAGAGGACCGGTTACTTCAACAGTTCCTGCGTTCCAGCATCTCTTCATTTGTTTCCATTTAATAAATAAGAAGGTGTGTGTTCTCTGTTTTCAAAATTCCTTGCTCGGAAAGCTTCAATATTTTCAATTTCCTTTCCTTCGTTTCCTTTTTATTCTTAGTTTGTAATGCCACTGCTGCCGAGAGTAGAAACTCAAAGAATCTGATGATATTTCTGCGTTTCGTCGGTGTCGGAGGATCTATCTTTGGTTAATTTTGCTCCGGTGCGTATAATTTTTGGTAAATTTTTTATGATATTTATGCGTGTAATGCCACTGATTTTACCAATATTTAAGCTAAATCCCGTCAAACAGTAACTTTGGAGAAGTTAAATCCTTGTAATTACTAAATCCATGATTCAGTGAATCCTCTTGTTCGACATATTTAGTACATCCTAAAGGCGCGAAGGAAAAGAAAAGCTCCCGCGAACTTATCATCCTCATGGTTTCCAGTTGGAGCGGAGTGGGAGAAGGGGGAAGATTGGAGTTTCAGTTGTCTTTTTACAGTACAATCCGACCGTTGCCTTCCTAGTTAGCTCTAATAACAATACATTTTAAGAAGTCGGTTGTGATTGCTTTGGGCGAAATGGGGAGGGGGAGAAATGTAGGTGAGAGTTTTGGGCACAAGAGTGGATGAGGAAGGGCAGGTTAGGTTTATGATTTAAATTTAATTTTATTTGAGTTAGTTTTTATTGATTTAAGTTTTTGATAGTTAATGAAGAATTGATATATTGTCATATTATTTTTAATAAAATTAAGTTTTAAGTAACTCTTTAATAATTATTTAAAAAAAAAATAAAATTTATATTAAATTTTAATCTATTTAATAAATTTTAAGTATTTGCTAAATAATTAATTTATTATTAATTGAAATATGTTAACTTATTACGTAATAAACAATAAAATTAATAAATTTTCTATTAATAATTATTTAGTTTTGTGAAAATTAATCATTAATTATCGTAATTAAAAATAAAAAAAATAAATTTAATTTAATTATATTTAATAATTAATTATTATCATTAATATGAAATAATCAATGTTTAATTAAGTTTTTGTATTCTGGCAAACCTAACAAATTTTTAAATATTAGCAAAAGTTGTTGAACAATTTTACAAGATTTAACTGCATTTATTAAATCATTGTCAAACACAGGATTTTTAAAATTTGGATTTACAAGATTAAGTAAAGCCTAATAGCTTAAATCTTTGAAGTTGCCAAACAACTCCATTATGATCGTGGATGGGGACTTAGCATTAGATGATTGCTTTGTGTCCATTGTTAGTCTAAAGATTGAAGACAAGGTAAATATCATGTCATGATGTGAAGTTGCTCTTTACATAGTTTCGCAAAAAGATGGAAGCAATGTAGAAGCATATGCCTTAAAACAAGTGTGTAGTGACATGCATTGCAAATTGTACGTGTAGTTAGACACATATGAAAAGTTGTGTGCATGCATTGGAGTTGTGCCCATTATGCCTAGCGTTGTAGCAGAGGTCTTGTGGTGAATTATTATTACAGTGATTTATGAATAGGCTAAGGGGTCATTTGTTTTTTTCTATTTTGTGTTTTTTTTCAAAATTTTGTTTAACATGTTGAAAATAAATCAATTTGTTTTTAAAAATACTCAAAAAAATTAAAAATTTATTTTGAGTGTTTTAAATGTAAATTGATTTATTTTGAAAAAATAAAAATACATGAAAAGGACATCAAACTAACATATTTTTAAAAACAAAAACTAAAAGAAAATAAAATTGATCCCAGATATTTCAAGTTTTTGCAAGTGTATGCTTGTGTGTTAGTATGCTTGTGGTGTTTGTGTGTTTTGCAATGGCATGCATTAGTAAGTACTTGTTGTTTACGTTTGCAAGGGCATATGCTTGCAGTGTTGTGTGTTTTAATGATGTTTGTTTAATATGACTTCTCCATTATAAGTGGTGAGATGTGTTAAGAATTGCAATTGAAATAGAGAAGCGAAAGAGAAGAGATAATGAAAAGTGGCTAGGGTCTCCATTACCTAAAGTACCTCAAATAAGAGTATATATATACAATAAGCAAAAAAAATAAACTACCCTTAAGTACTATAATATTTAACACCCCCCTCAAACTCACGATGCATTAAAGAGAATCATCGAGAGTTTGTTAGTCAAACAACAAAAGCGTTGAGTGGAATGCGATTTCGTAAATACGTCAGCAAGTTGCATGGAGGAAGAAATATAGGGTAAGGTGATGGTGTCATGTTGAAAGTGATGACGAGTAAAATGACAATCAATCTCAATATATTAGATGCACTCATGAAAGATTGAGTTGCGGACAATTTGTATAACACTTTTGTTATCACATTACATAAGAGTTAGACTAGAGAAAGAGACACCCATATCAGCAAGTAACCAGCGCAATCAAACAATTTCTGTAGTGGTGGATGTCATGACACGATACTCAGCTTTGGTAGAAGAGCGAGAGACAATTGCTTGCTTCTTAGCTCTTCCAAGAAATGAGAGAATCTCGTAAAAAAATACAAAATCATGTGGTAGATATACGACTGGTGGAATCACCACCACAATCAGCATCTGAGTAGGCACGTAATTCCAAAGAAGAAGATGCAGGAAAGAGAAGAATCTGAAATTGAGTGCCCCTGTCGACACTATTTTGAGTTTTGGAGTTGTCCGTTGGAAGCTGTCGGCAGCCGGAATCGAAATCCCGTTGCCCGCTTCAGAAGGACGTTTAATTTACACACACACACACACACACACACACACACACACATATATATATATACATATACATATACTCAATGCTCAATGATTTGAAATCCTATGGTTTGTTGTTTAATTCTAAGAAAAGGTGTGTTGTTGTAGACATGTTCTGCTGTTGAAGATGATCGTGCTGCCCATGATGTTAGCTCCAAGCTTCTCGTCCTGACAAGTTTAAGTTTTCTAATGTATCAGACTATGATGTCAAATCAAATGTCCTTATGGTTATGGTTCTTTAAATATTATGGGGCATGTTAAAATTCATTAGAGTGACACCGATTAAGATCCTACGGTTCCCTCGTTTTGGTACCACTATTTTTTTCAGATGCACTTAGTCCAAATGAATTTACTAAACTCAGGAGAAAGAGGTGTGAAAGGAGAATAATTCAAATTTGGAGTATTTTGTTGTAGAGTCCAAAGGAGGAATAACTATGAGATGCCATAGATCAGAAGGAGAACCTCGGTGACTTCCCAGTCTATTATATTGTTTGGTTTCAATTTAGAGGAGAAATTATTTGAATATTTCATCCTGTAAATTTTATTTATTTAGGTCTTATATTTGTGTGAAACAATCACACAAATAGCCTGGAAGATGTGAGGGTTTAGGTCGTAACGGACGACCGACAACCGGACGACAACCTCAGAATCCTAAGACGATTTAGGGCTTATATTGTATAGCAGAGCTAGGCAAAAGCTTAATGATGAGTTGAGGATTTATATTGCACTAGGTAGACAACCTCGAAATCCTATGGCTTGGTTGTTTAATTCTAAGGAAGGAATGATTTAGCTGATGAAGACATGTTTTGCTGTTGAAGATGACGGTGCTGCTCACAATGCTAGCTCCAAGCTTCTCGTCGTGATGAGTTTGAGTTCGATATTTAGTTTTTTAAGGGTACATGCAATAATCAAATCAGATGACCCTATAATTATGGTTATTAAAATATTATGGGGCATGTTAAAGTTGATTAGAGCGACACCGGGTAGTTTTCTATTGGATTCACTTTGTCCAAATGAATTTACTAAACTCAACTTAATGAGTTCCATACTTTCATTTAGACCGTGAGAAGTTTCGTTAGCAACCGTAGGTTACCTCCTCTGAGAGATTCTTAATCATCCGGCAGAGACGTCTTAATTTAGTTGCAATTGTTGTTTTGTGATGTTTGTGATTAAATTTTGAGTTGCATTATGTTTTGAATGTTGTGGCTGTGAATTTTATCTTGGTTGGTTTTAGTTTTGGTTTTGGTTTTGGATTTTGCGGCTATCCTAGCAGTTTTTGTTTTCATGCAGAGTGACATCGTTATTTAACATGCAAGTTTGTGTTTTTGTTCATACATGCAAGTGAGTAAGTACAGTTACTTACTAGAAAGTAAAGTACAGGAAACTAGAAATGCAGGTAAAGGAAACTAGAAATGCAGTTTTGGAGTATTAATTAATTATAAAATATTTTAAAAGTGGAAAATTAAGTTCTATATTTTTCTTAAATCTCTATAAGGTCAAGGAACCCAGAGAAACAAATTTTACATTTTTCTAATTTTTCTTTGTATTATTAGAATTATTTTAGTGAGAAATTAAGGAAAATCCATTTTTAGCCTTTAAAATTTTTTTTTAGCAATATTTTCACTTAGAAAATTAGGAAAAATATTCTAATTGCTCCTAAGGGCTTAGGAAACAATTTAGAACATTTTTATGAATTTTATTAATTTTGTGATTTTTATTAATTTTTTCATTATTTACATATTTAAAATATGCTTAAAATTGAAATTTTTACTTTCATTACAATTTTATTTTTAGAAAATTCCTCTGATCACATAGAAATCTCAAAAACCAATTTCATGATTTTTTGAGTTATATTTTAATTATTATGATTATTTTAAGTGTTAAAAGAGGCCTTTAACTTAGAAAATTAAATTAAGTTATCAAATGAATTTCAAATGTTTTGAAATTTTTATGGGGAGTCCTCTGAACTTTAAATTACAGTGAAGAATTAAAATCAAGTCATTTAAATGTTTATTTTTCCCAAATTAATTTCTTTTGTGTTTAAGGGTTTTGTGAAAATTAGGTGTGTTCTTAATGACTTAGCTCATGATAAGTTTTTTTTCTAGGGTTCTCTGGTCACAGTGAACTTACCAAAATTTTCTGAAATTTTTCTAAGCAACATGCTAATTATTATGATTAATTTATGAAAATAATAGAAATAAACTTGAAAAATACATATCTCCTCATAGGGGTCTACTCTGACTTTGGAAAAATCAGGGAAGATCCCGTATTACAGAGGCTACAAATGACCCAAATAGCATGCCATGGTGAAATATTTGAATGCATGGAGAATCAAAAAATTTAAAACCATATTTAATTAATTAAAAATCACACATGCATCAAATAAACTTCAAACCATTTTCATATTGTTCTCCTCTGTTCACTGAGCACTAAGATATTTTTATTTTATTTTTATGATTCTTCTATGAAAAGTTA